ATGATATGCTCTTCCAGATTTTACCAACCCAGCACTCAGAGACTTTCTAAACCCAGAGGTGATACTTTGGTATTTAAATTGCTTTCCTATCTACCACAGGCTGCTTTGTCATCATAGAAATGCTTTGTTGGAACAGAACTGCCTCAAATACTTTTGAAATTAAAAAGCAAAGATATGAGGTCATATGATATTGCATTTTCCAAATCTCCATCATTTCCTGAAATGATAAGCTCTCTCTCCTGGCACAGCTATCACCTGTGGTCCCCCTCCAGCAGTGCTGTATGGGAAGGTGGAAGGCTCTGACTATCGCTGGGGTGCCAGTGTGAGCTACAGCTGTGCAGAGGGTTATCAGCTGTCCAACACAGCCATTCTCTCCTGTGAAGGACGAGGGGTTTGGCGAGGAGACATCCCACAGTGCTTGCGTAAGTTGTCAGGGTACAGTTGTGTTGGGCTTCCCCAAACCTACAGTCACTTGGCTCTGGCTGCAGTCACAGAATCACAGTTTAGAAAGGACTCATCTACATCAGGCGATATAGGAATGACTACAGGATTCTCCCTTCTCCCTCCATAAACCTTACCTTGTTATGAAATTCAGTGGCTGTGCCTATTTAAGGTCACAGTTATCTTCCTTTCCCCAAAAGTTGCCCTCAATCTCTATTCCCTGTGCCCATCACCATTTGCCTTCCTGATAATCCTTTTGGCTGCTCTGAGTTTGACTTGTGGAGAGCATGAGTGAAATTTTCCCTTACACTTCTCCTTTTTTGCTCCCTTGTTTCCATTAATGGGTGAACAGCAGGATGCTAACCCTGAAGCTCATAGCCTTGCACTCCTTTCTAAACCCTTTTTCCTTTCTGAAGTGAGTACATACCCTCCTATCTTGCTCATATTTGGTTTTCAGCATCTTCTCAACGTGTCAGTGCATCTCTTTCAGTGCTTGCAATCTAGTCAGGACTCTGATAAACATTTCCCCCTTTATCTAATGAGAGCAAAACTTCCCAGCCTACTCCTCTGAGGGTGACTGATGTGAAAACTGGTTGTATTGTGAAGCTTTGCAGTAATAGCATTGTCACCTTTAGGATTATTTTGTCATCCAGATCTAATCAGCATATAAGTGCCTCAATTAAAAGGTCTGTTTTTCCTAGTTAAGTTTTATGCTTAGAATAACTATAACAGCGACAATGAATTTTAAAGTGCTGTCAAGAATTTATCAGAGCTACAGTCCTATACAGAGAAATGAGCTTAGAGTTTCCACCCGTATATATGTCTGACTTGCACATAAACCACAGAAGAAAACTTCAGTTAAAGTGTTTGCAGGTTTTAATAACTTTTTTTTTCCTCTTTCCTGTGCATTAGCTGTGTTTTGTGGTGATCCTGGCACTCCAGCAGAAGGACGTCTCAATGGGAAGAGTTTCACCTACAGATCTGAAGTTAGTTTTCAGTGCAGACCCCCTTTTATTCTGATAGGCTCCTCAAGAAGGTTCTGCCAAGCAGATGGCACTTGGAGTGGAATCCAGCCAACATGCATTGGTAATAACCACCACTACTTCTGCTGTTTCTACTGCGAATATCCTTGATAAACTCTTACACTCTCCTGAATGTAGCAATTAGCTGCCCAAATATAGCCAATGTCTGCATAGTATAAAAAGAACTAGTTAAATAAGGTTATATTTTGAGTGTGGAGATTTCAGGATAAACACAATCACATATGGAGGCACTTGTAAATTAACATGATTGCTTGTCTGCTGGAGATGCAGAATGTCAATATGTGCAAGGGAAGAAATGGGTTCTGTCTATTTTTAGACTCATTTAGATATGCAGAAGACTATGGAGGATTAAAGACTAGATTCTGTTGGCAGAGAGTTAAAGGCATTTTTCAAAATCAATCCCAAATAAAAAAAAAAAAATTTTGGACTTCATGAAAGTGGCTTGTACACCTCTGATCTTCTGAAATCCTGCTAAACTCACAAATACTCTCAGTTTCTCAGTGACTGATGTGCAACTGATAAGCTTTTAGCAGGTTGTGTAATCAGACTGGACACCTTTAACTCTGACATCAGGATTTGATCCAGCTTGGGGTGACTTGCTAAAGGAAATGATTTGGAGGTTATACTAGAAAAATCCTTTGCTACTTCTAGCCAAACACATTCAGATGTAGATTGTGTCCCAGGTATATATTTTGTAGTGGCTGAAATGTTGTCTGTGTGAAAGAGCTGGGCTGGGCACTCTGGGAGAATCTGCCAAGCAGGATTAGAGAAAGCAGCCTGAGTTTTAAATGAAGATCAGGGGGTTGTTTTCTTTTTTCTCCCACTTTTCTCTAACTCACAAATTGTCCTTAATAACAAAATTGTACTGGCCAAGTCACTGGTCTGTTGACCAGTCTGTTCAGCTGTCTGTTATGAGTGCAATATTTTAGATGAGCAGTGTACAGATTTCTTTGGTATGAACTCAAAACTTCTTCTGTCCATAGGTTTTGTAAACTGGGCAATCATCTTTCACCTAGGTGTTTGAACCAGAGGCAAGAAGGTTTCCAAAAGCTAAATTTTAGGTCTACTGCAAAGAGGCAAACTTGAAAATGTCTTAATGACATTTCTGTTTATATTTTATATACCTTGATATAGAAACACGTGGAAAGTGCCTAGAACTGCACCTAGAAGCACCACATGGTGCAAGATTTTCTTTCTCTGGATATTGATAATTTCCTTTCAATAATTTGAGAAGTCTTCCTTTTCATCCCCACTGATTCTTCAGATGAGACAGACCTTGAAAATTCAGTTTCAAGTGTCTATTATTAGCAATAATTGACAATTTGTACAAAGTTCTTGAGCTGTTCAAGCAGCTCAAGGTCAGGAGCATGTTTGGTTTTTATTCTCACACCTAACTTTGGAAGCCTTTGGGTAAATATCAGCCCAGTTGAACTTTTATGCTCAAGTGATGGTCAATATTGAATATGGAAGTTGCCCAAGAGTGAAATGACATATCACATGCTTGTAAGTGATAAATTCACTTTTCTCTCTACAGCAAGCTAAAAATTTCTTACAGATGAAACACAGTCCCAAGCTGTGTTCTTGGTAATTCTGTGTACAAAAGCAGAGTTGGTTCCCAAGAGAGAATAACACAGGATAGAAAGATGCATTGGATTAAGTTCTGAGCTGTCTAACTGGTGGACGTGACTGGGCAACCCCAGAGCCACCAACAGAACATGCTGGATCAGAATAGCTTCAGACTGCATTAAATTGCACTCATGAAGCTGAACATTGGACCATTAATTATACTCTGTTGGTGTGTGCCTTTTTTGTGGAGGGAGTGTCATTCTCCAGCAACAGCTGAGACAGTGCTCCATTTCAAACTGGTGTTCTTGGTGGCACGGGGGAAAAAGCTCTAGATAAGAAATGTATTTTACTTGCTATAACAAAACAAGCTGGTTGGGTGAGTTTTGTTTTTGGGGAGGGGGATTGGGGTTTTTATTGGCTTTTTATTTGTTTATGTTTAGAAATCCAACTTAATCATTAAGCTGCTCACTGGGAAAGAAGAGAAGATAAAGATTTCCTTATCTATTCCAACTGCATTGTGAATAGTGAGATATACTCTGGATCCAAAGAGTTTTTAAAGAATAAGTTTAGTAAAAATAAATGGAATCCGAACGCTGAAGTTTGCACTGCCAGAAATACCTGCAAAAAAATAGCTTTATATGATGACAATGTACTGAAACAAATGGCTATGATAGATACTGGAAATTGAGTTGAAAATATAAATGCAATAGATAGAAATGCACACGTTCCATGAAAAATTCAGTTCTTGTCACCACTAGACATTGATGAAATGATTTTCTCTTTGCAAAGAGTTTTATGGTATTGTTTCCATACCACAGTAATATGCATTGTGTTTCTCATTTTGCATTAGATCCAGCTCACAATACATGTACAGACCCTGGTACTCCACATTTTGGAATCCAGAACAGTTCCAGAGGTTATGAGGTAAATTCTCTTATTATTATTCATTAGCTTTCTGAAATTAAAATGCATTTAATCGTTGCAAATAGATTAAATTATCTGTGGGCTTAAATGTTTGATACAAACCTTAGGAAATTTCCAGCCCTTTGTAATAAATCTCAGGCTTCATTCCAAGCTTGGGAAAAAAATCCCATTCAGCCCAGAGAACTTCTAACCCTGCAATATATCATGTGTTCAATCCTTTAGGAGACTTCAGTAGGGAGGGCTATTTATAAATTGGTTGCTTAATATGATATGACATCATATAATTACTTTGCTTTATGATCATAATTCTTTCATACATTGATGAATAGTCAGTAAATACCCAACAGCCAAAGACCTGTGTGAACCAAAGGCCATGTAGACCTTGACAAGAGAAGTCAGCAAGGGGCTTTCCTAAATTAGCAATTCATGTTGCATTTTATTCAGTCAGAGAAGGGGAAATTATTCTGTGTTGTGTACAGGTTCTCTGTGATGAATGTCCCTGCCATAATTTCCAAACTCCTCACAGGTTATTAGTTCAACAAGCAACAGGCAGCAAAGTGAGTGAGGAAATAAACGTAGATGCAACAGTGACCAATCCACACTCTGATTTAGATTGATAGACTTCATGTGGATAGATTTTTCAGGTATAAATATGTGTGATTGGAATCTAAGACATGTTCTGTTTGGGTTTCTTGCTTATTTCTAAACCTAGGGCATTGTGACACATTGAGATCAAGCTGGTAGAACTGGTTTTCAGAAATTCCTTTCTGTCAGTTCCTCTGGTTATTGGTAGCCTCTCCGTCCTGCAATTTTCCTCTTTTGTTGCTATGGCTGTCAGATCTTTTCTTCATCTTCTGCTCCTGCCTGACACACACATACCAAGGCACATCTTCTTCATAGAATCATAGATTTTATGGATGTAGGAATGGAGCTCAGAGCTCACCCAGCCGTTTTCAGAAATTCCTTTCTGTCAGTTCCTCTGGTTATTGGTAGCCTCTCCGTCCTGCAATTTTCCTCTTTTGTTGCTATGGCTGTCAGATCTTTTCTTCATCTTCTGCTCCTGCCTGACACACACATACCAAGGCACATCTTCTTCATAGAATCATAGATTTTATGGATGTAGGAATGGAGCTCAGAGCTCACCCAGCCCCAAGCCCTGCCCTGGGCAGGGCAGGGCTCTGCAGCTTTTCTGGAGCCCCTTCAGGTATAGCAAATTTGCTCTGAGCTCTCCACACAACCTTCTCTTCTCCAGGCTGAACAGCCCCAACTCCTTCAGCCATTGCATTTAAAATGGTTGAACTCTAGAAACTGAACAAAGCAGATAGTTTTTAAAATAAATTTCTGCATTAACTTATCACTGATTTGACGTTTGGCTACACCTCTTCTATCTAATGTTCTGCTTTGGTCCTTAGGTTGGGAGCACAGTGTATTTCAGGTGCAGGAAAGGTTATCACATTCAAGGATCTACCACCCGTTCTTGTCTGGCTAACTTAACCTGGAGTGGGATCCAGTCTGAGTGCATTCGTAAGTCTTTTTTTTTTCTCTACTCACTTAGAATACTGTGCAATTTAAAAAGAGAGGCAAAGTGATGCACATGGAAATTTTTAGGAAATTATATGCTACAAAAACAGGAAACTTCATTTAAAACAGATTTCTAATTGGTTTTTCTTTGTTTCCTGTACAAAGATCAAAGATGTATTTGGGATATTAATTTTAAGGAAGATTTTTCAGATAATTTCTTTCATGAAGTTCACAATAATTCTATCAGTTTTACTCCAAAAAAGTCTGTTCTCATTAACATACTGCATTAATTACTTTGGTTTTATCTAGGATTTTTGGAGGTTTGTGTTGGATTAATAAAGAACAGCAAGTGACCTGAAATATGCATGGGGATGTTTCGTTGGGCAGCATTTTGTGAATCATAAACCAGCCAAATCCAGCTTTTCTTGTTGGGCAGTATTTTCTGATTCATAAACCAGCCAAATCCAGCTTTTCTGGCCTATGCATGAGTATGTTAACCACTAGTATATCTATAGCTCTGTATGGGTTGGAGGACATCAAATAACTATGGCATTAAAATACACTGACCTGAGCTAAAAATAATTCATGAGAATGACCTTAGATTCTTATCCTATTTCAAACTCTCTGTGGGTTGCTAGAAACAAACCCCATGTGACACAGAGAAAGAAACATTCTGAGCCACCATATCTGTTCTAAGCAATGCACTATGACCTAAACCTTCTTGGGGAACCTTTAATTCCATTGAAATTTAGAATGCATTTATTTAGCATGGGAACCACTCCACAGAGTGGAGGCAATGCCTGAAGCTGTGACAGCACAATAATTCACAGGTCCAATCATTGCACCATGGACAGTGGCATCTTCTTCCCTTCCATTTAACTCTTTTCTGGTTGCTATCATGATTTAATTCGGTGTATTCCTTAAAAATCTGCAGCAGTATCCTTTCCATCTTCCCACAACAAGAAAAGTAGGCACTGTTACTTTTACAAGAGGCTTGGCATTGCTAAGAGGTATGCAAAGTTGACATAATGAAGGGGAATAAGTTGGTTTGTATTCATAGAATCACAGAATCAATCAGGTTGGAAAAGACCTCCAAGATCATCGAGTCCAACCCTCCCGTGGTCACTAGCCCATGGCACTAAGTGCCACATCCAGTCTCAGCTTGAAAACCTCCAGGGATGGGGAATCCACCACCTCCCTGGGCAGCACATCCCAATGCCTGAGCACTCTCTCCATCATCCTCTCATCCTCTGGAAACTGCTTACCAGCACTTTTTCTAACTCTAAACCTCCCTTTGCAGCTCATGCTTGTAGGCAGCCAGAGACACCAGCACACGTAGATGTGAAAGCAATAGACCTTCCTACCTTAGGGTACACTTTGGTGTACACCTGTCAGCCAGGATTTTTCCTTGCTGGAGGATCAGAACATCGGACGTGTAAACCAGATATGAAATGGACAGGAAAATCACCTATTTGTAAAAGTAAGTCATTACTCAAAATGATTTGTTAGGTCCTACTTGACTGGAATTCATTTTCCCTGATGTTTTTGTTTTCTATAGAAGGATTATTTTTTTTTTTTCACTTCCTGTGTAAAGACACACATGGCACAACAGCTGCTACTTTGTGAAAGAAGCAGTAAAGAAATCCAAGTGGGAAGAGCATCTAGAACCCATGGAGGAAAACATGGGGATGTGTCTGAGTCAATGCACAGACACATGTGTTCACCCCTACCAACAGCAACCAAAACCCAAGCAATATGTATTACATTTCATTCCATTTATCTTTATGTTTTAAATAGTATTTCTATGTATTTCAGTTTTAAATGGTATTTCCATGTATTCAGTATTTATTGTATGATTTTCCATGGTGAAAATGGTGATTTCATATCTTAGCTTTTAGAATCATTCAGGTATCATTTTTGTCTAAGGAAATCTGCTAAAAATAAAAGCAATAAAACAGTTAAAAAATACATCTTTGCACTAGATACCACTTTTATTTATGTCAGTGTAACTTTCATTTAGTTTTGCTAGGGTAGACCTAAGCTTGTAGCTATGAAGTCTAAATTTGCTCTTCACGTGTGAATAAACATGGATCTAAGTTCCCAGTTCAGAAAAAAAAAATCAAATTCTGTTTAGAATATGAATAAAGGAATAATACTCAGATGCCATGGGAAAATTGTGTGCAATAAGATTTTTGATTCTAATAGATCAAAGAATGATAAATACTTCTGGTCACAGAATAATGAGAGTTGGAAGGGAATAATGAGGATCCCCCAGCCCAACCCCTGCCCTGCACAGACATCCCTGACACTCACACCCTGTGCTGAGAGCATTGGCCAAACACCTCTGGAGCTCTGTCAGCCTTGGGGCTGTGACACTGCCCTGGGAGCTGTTCAGGGCCCAAACACCTCTGGGGAAAGAAGAACCAGTTGCTAATCTCCAGCCTAACCCTGCCCTGACACAACTCCAGCCCATTCCCTGGCTCCTGTCCCTGGGCCCAGAGAGAAGAGCTCAGAGCTGTCCCTGCACTTCCTTCCCTGAGGGAGTTGTCCCAGCCATGAGCTCTGTGCTCAGTCTCCTCTTCTCCAGCTGAACAGCCCAAGTGCCTCAGCCACTCCTCACGTGCCTTCCCCTCAAGGCCCTTCAGACCATTCCCTGGGGATATTTCTTGACATTAATGTATGGGTAGACTTCTTTGGTTCACCATTGTCATATGGTCTACACATCAGAGTTTATCTTCTATATCCCTAAAGGATGATTTTCCACGGGTACTGTAGAATTAAGAATTTGACATAGAAGATCTTTTGTGGGTTTAGGTCTTTGTTTTATTTATTGAAGATAAAATACATAAAAGTTTTCTATAAGAAAGGATTCTTTTTTTAAATTGGCTCAGTCTTTAGGTATAGTTCTCACTGAGTGTCTCATACTCTTTTTCTTAGTACTTGATCAGTCTAATCAGGGAATTTCTGCTCATAAAGTAAAAACAAAAACCAAAACCTCAATACAAACCAACGTGCAAGACCAAATCGTCCACTGGGACATTATCCTTTTTAAAATGTCAAATGATATGTGTCCAGAAGTTGATCAGGTGATAACTTGGCTGAGTGTACCATAAACATAGCAAACCACACCAGTTGTGATCTTTTCCCATGACATCTGCTCCTATTCTCTCAGTCAAGCTCTCTGCCTTTCTCTGAGTTGTGTCATAAATGCATCAATTTTATTAATACAATTTTTACTATGTTTAATACACCATTAATTATAATTTGATATGTCCCCTCTATAAGGCTCTCTTTTATAGCACTGGGGCTGATATAAAAATGTGAGTCCTAATGGTATGAAATACTTGACTAAGCAGATAACTTTCCACAGTAAAATGTTGTTGACCTAAATCATTTCCGGATAGTTTTGTGTAAGTGTAAAGATTTAACCCTGTAAAGTATTCAAGACAGGTTCTTTCTGTTTTAAATATGGCTCTATTGGATAAGAGGTGATTGCATCCATGAGGCATTGTTAACATTCTATTAAAAAAAGAAAAAAAACCACCACACAAATATGTTCATGAAAATGATAATTTGTCTTTTTACTTGTAGGTAAAGGAGTGAGAGAAGTTAATGAAACAATAACTAAAACTCCAGGTTTGTATACAAGAAGAGCTTTAGATCTAACTAAATTAAACTGATGTACACCCTAGATTGTTATGGATAATAAATCTCTTTCCAATATTTAAGCTAAGCATTTCTGACTCGTTTCCCAGGAATATAAATGGTGAGGTCTTTCACAATAACAGGTGCCATGAAAAGCAATCCTCTGGAATTCTTGCACAACCTTTAACATTTCTACAGCACCAATTGTGTGAGTTGCTCAAACCCCTCGTCAAGCAAAAAAAAAAAAATATAAAAAGCTTTTATACCCAAAACTCAGATTTGATGTAGATTTATATCAGAGAGGTTGCTATAATGGAGAGCCTTATAATGACAACTCTTTTCAGTAAATGGAAGGCCTAATTTATTTTTTTATCCATTTATTGAACCCTGAGCAGAATTGTCACCAAATAAATGAGCTTGCAATTCTGTATTTTCTGAACTTCAGCAAAGCTGCAGGGAAAATAAGATGAATGGGTCACTCTCATGGCAATTCACACAAGGACTCCAGAGTAGATGGGATAAAAAGGTATTTCTGCTAATAATTAACCTTCCTGCT